CCTGAACTAGCCAGCTGAACCGTTTAAAATCTTAAAAGATGATGCTGTCAAGGTGATGCATGCCATATGCCAGCAAATATGGAAAACACAAGAATGGCCATCAGACTGAAAAAAATCAACTTATATCCCCATACCAAAAAAGGGAAATGCGAAAGACTGCTCAAACTTCCGTACAGTGGCCCTTATTTCTCATGCCAGTAAGGTAATGCTCCAGATCCTGCAAGGAAGACTCCAGCAATACATGGAGCGAGAGTTGCCAGATGTTCAAGCTGGGTTTAGAAAAGGCAGAGGAACGAGAGACCAGATTGCCAATATCCGCTGGATAATGGAGAAAGGCAGGGAGTTTCAGAAAACATCTATTTCTGCTTCATTGACTACTCTAAAGCCTTTGACTGTGTGGATCATAATAAATTGTGGCAAGTTCTTGGTGGGATGGGCATACCAAGCCACCTTGTCTCTCTCCTGAGGAATCTGTACAAGGACCAAGTAGCAACAGTAAGAACTGACCATGGAACAACAGACTGGTTCAAGATTGGGAAAGGCGTACGGCAAGGCTGCATACTCTCACCCAACCTTTTTAACTTGTATGCAGAACACATCATGCGATGTGCGGGGCTTGATGAATGCAAAGCTGGGGTGAAAATTGCGGGAAGAAACATTAACAACCTCAGATATGCAGATGACACCACTCTGATGGCCGAAAGCGAGGAGGAGCTGAGGAGCCTTCTAATCAAGGTGAAAGAAGAAAGCGCAAAAGCCGGGTTGCAGCTAAACATCAAAAGAACCAAGATTATGGCAACAAGAATGATTGACCACTGGGAAATAGAGGGAGAAAACGTGGAGGCCGTGACAGACTTTGTATTTCTAGGTGCAAAGATTACTGCAGATGCAGACTGTAGCCAGGAAATCAGAAGACGCTTACTTCTTGGGAGGAGAGCAATGTCCAGTCTCGATAAAATAATAAAGAGTAGAGACATCAGACTGGCAACAAAGATCCGCATAGTCAAAGCCATGGTATTCCCTGTAGTAACCTACGGATGTGAGAGCTGGACCTTAGGGAAGGCTGAGTGAAGGAAGATAGATGCTTTTGAACTGTGGTGCTGGAGGAAAGTTCTGAGAGTGCCTTGGACTGCGAGAAGATCCAACCAGTCCATCCTCCAGGAAATAAAGCCCGACTGCTCATTGGAGGGAAGGATACTAGAGACAAAGTTGAAGTACTTTGGCCACATCATGAGGAGACAGCAAAGCCTAGAGAAGACAATCATGCTGGGGAAAGTGGAAGGCAAAAGGAAGAGGGGCCGACCAAGGGCAAGATGGATGGATGGCATCCTTGAAGTGACTGGACTGACCTTGAAGGAGCTGGGGGTGGTGACGGCCGACAGGGAGCTCTGGCGTGGACTGGTCCATGAGGTCACGAAGAGTTGGAGACGACTGAACGAATGAACAACAACAGCCACCTGACAACCAGTGCTTTTAATGAGATTGCTACAAGCTATGATCCTTGTGTGTTAAAACAGTAATCTCCATGAGAAAAGGCGATCAAAAGATTTTCAGTATCTTCTGGTCATACTACCATTCATTGCTTGCTTTTTATCCTGATGCGTTATTACTATGCAATACTTTCTTGTATCATATACTTGGGAACTGCATATTCAGACATAGCAGATACAATATGAAATTAGACTGTTCAGTGTGGTTGGATTAAGCAGTCAAGTTATAGTTCACTGTTAATATTTTATTGTCACTGAAAGACAAAAAATAACATCCGAGAAACAGCCATCTCATACAAACTGAAGTGTAATGTGAACCCTCATCCCCACTGGATAATAATAGGATGTAAGGGCTGCGAGATGTAAATGAGAACATTATGGCTCGTATTTTTAAAGACATTAGAAAGAAGAGAGATTGAAACATAGAGACACATTTTGATTTGAAATTATGTAAACTTTGGTTTCAGTTCTGTGATTATATACATTTTTATTATTACACAAAGCAACAACACTTGTCCCTATTAATATTCATTACATCATTATTAGACAATAATATTTCATATTCTTTCATGTTATCTTCAAAAAGCCACTCTTTGTTTTCAGGAACCATGCAGTTAAGGTATGTGGGAGGGATACAACAAAATGCCTTTTACGTGGGGTTTTTTAACACATGGAGACTAGTAATTAGGACCATTTTATGCATAGTTTCAGACTATTTCGTAATTGGATGGCACTTATCAGTAAATTAAATGCAGAGCTAAAAGTCTTGCTGCCTCACACCCTAGGTTTCAGGTCCCTTTTTTGAAAATAATTTTTATGCATGTTTTATAAATTGATTACTTATTTCAAATATACAGCAATAGCATAAACTTATGATACAGCTTTTCAAAGGATGAACAATTTGGTGCCAATAATGAGCTTTACATTGCCTTGGTTCAAACTGATTTAATGCTTCTTTTTACTCTCTCCGGTAATTTCATCTGCTTATTATTTATTTATTTATTTATTTATTTACAGTATTTAGATTCCACCCATCTCATCCTGAAGGGGACTCAGGGCGGATCACAGAACCCATATGTGACAAACATTCAATACCGATTATATAGTGACAAGACACACAACAGATAGTGGTATATATAGCCTTTTCCCATCTTTTGGCATCTTTGGAGGCTGTGCTCGGTCCCAGCCACAGGGGATTGCTGTCACTCCATCTCCTTGCCAAAGAGCTTTCTTTGTTCTTAAACCTTTTCCTTTATCTGATCGAAACGCCATGCCTAAATACCCCCCCCCCCCGCTTTAATGTGGTTCCTATTTGCTCACATTTGTTTTCGAACTGCTAGGTAGGCAGAAGCTGGGCTGAAGGTCAGGCGCTCACCCTGATCCGGGTTTCAAACTCTCAACCTTCCAGTTGGCAAGATTTATTGCAGCTTGGTGATTAGCCTGCTTGTGCTAAAGCCTGGCCTTGCTTAGCCCCATTCTTCCTTTAACTTTTTTATTCCCATGTGGATCTCAGTAAAGTCCAGTAAAAATACCAGGAGGAACATCTGTATGAAAAGGAAGTCCCCATCAAAACTGCCCTTACCACGATTGCCCTAAATTTTGTAAGCATCTTTGAGGGACAAAAGACTAGTTTTATTTAAAAAATCAAGAACACTAGACTGGATAATGAACCAGCTGAATAATGGAAAGTTGCTTTTGTTGTTGTTGGGGTCTTTTATTAATCCCACTAATTTCTTCGTCAGACAAAGCTGTTAAAATTGTACATCTTAGAGTCGTAAGCCTACATTTTATTTTTAGATATATTTCTGTTGTTAGTCAAAATGGTCTAGAAGAGAATGTCAAGTCATAGAGAGAGAGTGTAGAATCATAGAGTTGGAAGAGACATCATGGGCCATCCCTCCAACCTCATGAGAAGCTGGAATGCATCCAGAGGAGGGCAAATAAAATGATCAAGGGTCTGAAGAACAAGCCCTATGAGGAGCGGCTTAAGGAGCTGGGCATGTTTAGCCTGAAGAATAGAAGGCTGAGAGGAGACATGATAAACATGCATAAATATGTGAGAGGAAGTCATAGGAAAGAGGGAGCAAGCTTGTTTTCTGCTGCCCTGGAGAACAGGATGCGGAACAATGGCTTCAGACTACAAGAAAGGAGATTCCAGCTGAACATAAGGAAGAAATTCCTGTGAGAGCTGTTCAGCAGTGGAACTCTCTGCCCTAGAGTGTGGTGGAGGCTCTTTGGGGGCTTTTCAACAGAGGCTGGATGGCCATCTGTCAGGGGTACTTTGAATGCAATTTTCCTGCTTTTTGACAGGAGGCTGGACTGTATGGCCCACAAGGTCTCTTCCAACTTGATGATTCTATGATTCCTGCCAAGAAGTAGGAAAATCGCATACAAAGCACCCCCAACAGATGGCCATCCAGCCTCTGTTTAAAAACCTCCAAAGAAGGAGCCTCCACCACAGTCCTGGTCAAAGAGTTCCACTGCTGAACAGCTCTCAAATTAAGCAGTTCTTCCTCATGTTCAGATGGAATCTCCTTTCCTGCAATTTGAAGTCATTGTTCCACGTCCTAGTTTCCAGGGCAGCCGAAAACAAGCTTGCTCCCTCTTCCCTATGACTCCCCCTCATGTATTTTGGATTTTATTGTATTCTGTTGAATAGTCAACACGCCTCCTCTGAATACATTTCCTGAATATAAGATTTGTTGACTGTTTAGTACTGCAGCACATTTAATTCATTTATTATCCCTAGAGACACATTAAAGTTAAAACTCCACCATACATCAGTTGCTTTCATTAAGGAAATAAATTTAATGAAGTTTCCTCTTTTGGGCAAATATCCAACATAATTCATAATTTAGTCGACTTTAATTGTTAATTTCCCTTTGCTGAAACATGCATCTTTATGGGAGGGAAGAAGAATAATGTGATGTCATGGGCTTTTCTTTTTTTCTTTTTTTACAGAAAATATAGTTCTGTATACGAGCTATTACGGTCCAAAAGAGCTGGTAGGCTAAGTTAAAAATAATGTTTGAAGGGATTTGATCAAGGCTGGTGAATGAGAGCTGTTACACACAGCACTGTAGAATGAATACAGTGATCCCAATGCTGTGGGACCATGCAAGCTACAGTTTTACAAGATTTCTCTGTGAAAGATTGAGGCGTCTTGCCAAACTATAATTCCCAGGATTCCATAGCATTGAGCCCTGGCAGTTAAAGTGTCAAACTGCATTAATTCTACAGTGTGGACCCAGGCATGGACAAGCTTGGGCCCTCCAGGTGTTTTGGACTACAACTCACACAATTCCTAACAGCCTACCGGCTGTTAGGAATTGTGTGAGTTGCAGTCCAAAACACCTGGAGGGCCCAAGCTTGCCCATGCCTAATGCACCCAAAGATCAGGAACTGGAGGAAGATAAAGTAAAATACATATATTGGAAGGAACCAGGAAGTTGCTTCTCCCAAAGTGTAAAAGACTAATCCTTCTACTGCTTTGCTTTCTCTTGCAATCAGGGAACAGAGGAGGGCGGAGTTTCCCTCCTGGAGGAAGAGCTGAATTTGCAGAACAGCCCTGTTTGCCTTTTCCTGCCGTCATGGCTGAGCCCATCAAAGGCCCGCTGGCCCGGACAGTTTTGCAGCAGTGCCGTCATGCTAGGCTGCAGGTGAAGCCTCCTGAGCAGGGCTCCGAAGCAGAATGGGTGGAGGTAAACACCCTTCCTTCTCTTTCTAAGATCTGGGCTAGATCTCTGTCCTATAGTATATGCATCGGCAAACCTGGGCCCTCCAGGTATTTTGGACTTCAGCTGAAGTCCCAGACACCTGGAAGGCCCAGGTTTACCCATGCCTGATCTACACCTGAACTGCCGTGGCTCAGTGATTTCTTTACAGAATATTCTTCAGCTGTCACATGCCTAAATACGGCTGTATCAGATACTTACTATACCATCAATTTAACTTTCTTTGGCTCTGATAGAACTGTAGCCTATGGGTCCAGGCAATTTATCACATTTTATTTTGGCTACATTATTCATCACATTTTATCTTGTTTCGCCACTGAGTGACAAGGAGGAGATATTGTGAAATGGAAACAAGCTTAGCAGAACAATCATTGGTTAGTCTATACAGGCGTAGACTCCTTATTTAGCGTTAATAGACTGCAATACAAGTTCTGTAGTATTATATTAACCTGGAAGTTAATCCTATTGAACACAATAGAGCTTATTGCATGGTTTATAGGCAGTCAGTCCCCAAGTTATGAACAAGATAGATTCTGTAGGTTTGTTCTTAAGTTGAATTTGTTTTAAGTCTGAATTACATTTTTAAGTAATTCTTCTTTGGAGGCTTTTAAACAGAGGCTGGGTAGCCATCTGCCAGGGGTGCTTCGAATGTGATTTTCCTCCTTCTTGGCAGGGGGTTAGATTGAATGGCCCATGAGGTCTCTTCCAACTCCGTGATTCTATGATTCTAAGTGTAGACTACTGCAACCCACCCTACCTGGGGTTGCCTTTGAAGACTGTTCAGAAGCTTCAAATCGTCCAACGTGCAGCAGGCAGGTTGTTAACAGGAGCGGCGCTCAGGGATCACAAAAGTCCTCTGTTGAGCCAGCTCCACTGGCTGCCAGTTTGCTTCCAGGCAGAATTCAAAGTGCTGGCTTTAGCCTATAAAGCCCTAAACGGTATCAGACCAGCTTACTTATCCAAACGTATCTCTCCTTATGAACCATCTAAGACACTAAGATCTTTTCGAGAGGCTCTGCTCTCGCTCCCGCCTTCCTCACAGATGCTTTTGGCAGTGACTAGAGATAGGGCCTTCTCTGTGGTGGCCCCCTCGACTGTGAAACGCCCTTCCCAGGGATATAAGATTGGCCCCCTCCCTCCTGACTTTTCGAAGAAAGGTTAAAACCTGGCTTTTTGAGCAGGCTTTTCTAGCCCAGCATAATGATACGAAATCATGGAACGATATGATGATGCAATTGAATAACGATTTTAACAAGGAGATGCTCCCGACAATGTTTTTACGGCTTTGTATGGTCTTTTTTATATTTTATACTAAATGTTTTAATAGTATTTTATGATTGTTTTATTTGTTGAGGCATCAAATGTTGCCAACTGTGAACCACCCTGAGACGTCTTCGGGCTGCGAAGGGTGGTATACAAATATGGTAAATAAATAAATAAATAAATAAATAAGTGTAACTCCAGTAAAATATGTGTATGTATGTACATCGTATATGTGTAGATGGATAGATGGATAGATAGATAAGCTTTCGATACTATAAAGAAGGGTTAACACACCTGTGGTGTTTGTTTTACTGTTTGTGCCCCTCTTTAGAAGATTTCTGTCCTTGTGATAACTGGAGTTTGAAAAAAGTTGACTTGTTGTGGAAACCAATATTGGTGATAAAGCTTCAATGGAGACCCCTTTCCCCTATGATAACTCTTTCATGAGTGAATTTCCCTTCCTAGTAGTAGATTTCTCTCACTTCCCATTGTCTCATCCCTGTTCTTAACTATGAGTTGTTTGTAAGTTGGATAAAGGAAAATATTTATTCCAAAATGGTATTTTAAGGAATTTCTCACCCAATCAAACAAATCTCACAGCCTTTTAAGTCCAATATGACATTTTATTTCAGTGTGCCAGATGCTGGAAATATATTGTTACCATGCAAACCTATCCGTTCCAGTCCAGCCTCCTAAAATCTAAATATGAAAAATTTAGTTGATTGGATTTGATTTAATTCAGAGTTAATTAATTTAGTTAATTTAGTGCTTAAAGGATTTTGTAATTCATGCTTTAACCTTTTGCTATGTTTATCTGGGAACATGCCCCATTGAATTAACTGAGGGTTTCGCCTGAGTTGGTGTAATTGTGCTGCACATAAAGTTTTATGCACAGAAATAAGAGAGCTGTTCAATTATAGCAAAACACCTTGTGGATATGTATGGATTCATAAATATATCTTTGTTATTTTATGTAGATCCAGCGAGGACTTATCATATATGTATGCTTCTTCAAAGGGGCCAGTGAAGAAATTACTTCTAAAATGGGTAGGTTTTTTTTCCAAAGGCACAAAATTTCAAAAGCAGGCAATTGAAAAGAGTAGCACTAAAAATAAGTAAGCAACTCTAGTGGCGACATTGAATCTAACATATGATAATAAGGAGTGATTTAATGAGGTTTTGCATTAAAATAATTAAAGCATCTCTCAGGGGGAAGTTAGTCTGTGCAACTGTTTCATTCTGAATTGTGCTACATATAAGTCCAATGTATTTTTTAATTAACTGGCTCTTACTGAGGCAGCTGTTAATAAGCTTGCAGAGGCACAGTGTGTTATTAATATAGTACCATATTTAGCTTTAGACCTAGGGCTCTTTTGAAATATCAACTAAGTTGATTGGATTTTTTTATTTTCTAGTCTTTTTAAAAAACTTTTAATTTTATCATAAATATTTATGGATATTTTTGGGAGGGGGGATATGTTACACATTTGGTCTCAGGTCCTCCTCAGGATATTTGTGGCCAGCTTTTTTGCTCTTGGGGTGCATCTATACTATGGAATGAATGCAGACTTACACCACTTTCACTGCCATGGCACAATGCTATGGATTCTGGGATTTGTAGATTGGCAGGGCAGCTGCGCTCTTTGGTAGAGAAGGCTAAAGACCTTGTAAAACCAGAACACCCACGATTCATTACCATTAAGCCATGGCAGTTAAACTGGTGTCAAACTGCATTCATTCTACAGTGTAGGTCAGTGGATCCCAACCTTTTTTTGACCAGGAACCACTTGACCAGGGATTACTCTCCAAAATTAGTACCAAGAGAGTTACAAATCAGTTAACTTTAGATTTGGTTTGGTTATTCAGTTTGGCTGATTCAGAAAATTGCATTGGATAGACCACATCAGCTCTAGTTTCTGATACAGGGTATGTGCCATCCAGTAGTCGTCATCTGCTCTCCCACAGAAAACCATATTTTATAATCTAGAGTTGATGTGGTAGTAGCAATATTTTTGTGGGTCGTCAGCCTCTTCCCTCACAATATCCCTGTTGCCTCAGCAATATAAGAGGGTTTTGCGAGACCAGCCGCTCTCATTGCCTCGTGGTTTTGAGGCAACGGTGTAGGCCACGGACCATATTTTCATTCTTGCAGACCACTGGTGGTACACGGATCACAGGTTAGAAATCACTGGTGTAGATGTACTCTCAGAAACAAGCAATCCATGGGGAACAGCACCAGAGGCCCCTTCTACACTGCCATATAAAATCCAGATTATTTGCTTTGAACTGGATTATATGGCAGTGGAGACCCTATCTTGTTCATGCCCAGCATTTTAAATTTTAATTATTACATTTGGCCCGACCATAGATTTTTAAATGCTGTATGTTATTGTTATTTTTATTGTTTATTGCTTATTTTGTATTTTTGTTTTTGAGTTTTATTTTAACTGTTTGCATTGATTATTTGTTATCGCCTTTGTTTATTGATGTGCTGTGGGCTTGGCCTCATGTAAGCCACACCGAGTCCCTTGGGGAGATGGTAGCGGGGTACAAATAAAGATTATTATTATTATTATTATTATTATTATTATTATTATTATTATTATTATTATCCAGTTCAAAACAGAAAATGTGGATTATCTGTTTTGATAATCTGGATTATATGGCAGTGTGGAAGGGGCATGATTTTGCTTGAAAAAGCAAAAGCGGCCCCTCTCCCATGTGCAGAAGTACTTTTTAAAAAACAGGTCAGGAAAAACAAACCTTTCAAACATAACAGTTCCATTGGATTCCGTCATCTTGACCAGAGCTATTCTCTGAGTAGCGGTTCACTTATTTCTAGAGAGTAAAAGGTTTATTGGACCTCTTCTAAAAGGTAAATATTTATAAGTCTAAACATATAAAACTGAGTTAGCTCAAGATACTCTTCTGCCCTAAGCAGAATACAGGATAGCACTTCCCCATTTCATGTACAGAAACCAACTGTATTTTTCTGCAATCTGATTTTTTTTCTCCAAAATGGTCAGCACCTTCCATCACACAATTGAAGGCTGTGTGGCACTCATGGCTCTTTCCTGGAAATGTTTCTGCCATCTCCTGGCACCTATTGCCTCTGAGTCAGCTCACTCTACCTAATGATTGAGTTGGCTTGGCCAGGAAGAGGACAGCCCTTCCAGTGTAATTAATTAATGCAAGTTGACATAGATGTATCACTTTCTTCAAAAGTTGCTATGAAATGTTTCTAATGCTGGGGGAGGGGCATTTCCACCATATTTGAACCCCCCCCCCCCCCCCCCCCCCCCCCCCGAGTCCTCATGGGCGGGCAAAACACAAAAAATTACAATTTTTCAGCAAAACTTTTTGACTTCAAAAGTCCCTACATTTGGAGCCCTCTCTGGTCTAATTTAACCAAGAGAGGCCTTTTTTGGAACAGGAAGTAAAATAGTGTTGTCCCCTTTTCATTGTGTTTACTGTCTTTTTAGATGACATGCCCCAGGGCAGGGAATTGTCAGATTAACTGTTCGTAAGCCACTCTGGGAACCTTTTAACTGAAGGAAAAGACATAAATGTAATAAATATGCCTCTGCTGTATCTAAAATGGCCCAGGAAGACCCCAAAACATGAATGTGTTTGGGGAGCATAAAAAAATTGTTGGAGTATGTGCAGAGGGGGTACAGCCTTCCAAATTCTCATTGGAAGCTAATGGGACTCCCTCTTTCCACAGTTGCCAACCCCTGGATTAATAATAATAATGATAATAATAATATTTGTATACTGCCCTATCTCCCCACAGGGACACAGGACGGTTTCCAACATGTAAGGTTGTGGCACAGCTAATTAGTAGCCAGCTGTATTAAATCACTACTGACCAAGAGGTCATGAGTTCGAAGCCAGCCCAGGTCAGAGTGAGCTCCCAACCATTAATTGTCTAGCTTGTTGTTGACCTCTGCAACCCAAAAGATAGTTGCATGTGTCAAGTAGGAAATTTAGGTATGGCTTTATGTGGGTAGACTAATTTAACTAATTCATGACACCATAAAACCTTCCAGCAGCTTGCATAAGACTGAGGAAGTATCCCATTAAGGACTCAGTGTCACAAGTGGACAGTGAAGCGGCAGCCTCCCCTGTGACCGGAATCGAGCATACCCCCATGAAGCTGGAAAGCTGGAATGTTAAATTGCCTCTTTGTCTGTCTATATATGTTGTATGTCTAATGGCATCGAATGTTTGCCATGTATATGTGCATTGTAATCTGCCCTGAGTCCCTTGTGGGATGAGAAGGGCATAATATAAATACTGTGAATAAATAAATAAATAAATAAATAAATAAATAAATAAATAAGGCAAAACATTCAATTACCAGAAAGAAACCATACAGACAATTACATTAAAATAAACAAAGCATTTTCTACTCCACAGTAAGTATTATTTGTGGTTCTGAATGTGATAACTATGGTTATAAAAAAACAAGGGTTTATCTCCAAATCAGAGGTTGACTAGATGAAATGTAAAATGACATTCGGACCATCCTGGAACATACACACATTTTCTACTGTAGATGTTCTCTTAACGAAAGATAATCATGCATAATGTGCTCTATGCACATTTATTATACTGGTAGGACATTACAGAAACATATAGTAGATGTAAATTTCTTTCTTTGGTCAGCCATTTCAAAAGCAACGGCATAGACTGGCTTCTCTCACACAAAAAAGCATCCATAAATATACTGGAGCCTAGAAAATTGAAAATTGTCAAAAATATCAACTTTCCAAAGGCCTAGTATGAATAAATGTCAGTGAAGATCTCTTGATAATTGTGCATGCTCTGCTGAATGTTTAGAAGTCGCTTTTGAAGTATTTTTTAGGATGGCTACACCTGAAGACATTTTATGGAGTAAACGATAAAAGCTGACCTAAGTGCTTTTGAAGTAGATAAGCAAGCTTTAGACTTTTCCCTTGAACCCTGGAATCAATTTATTTTTAATTGGTTGTGAATTTCGAAGTTCTAACAATAGGGTTTCATACATACCATATTCCTTTTAAGGTGAAAGTGATAACATAGGAAGGAATGTAGTCTCAGTATAACTGGAGATTTGTACCTATACTGTTATTAAATGGTTATTAAATATTTGGAAAAGAACATTGAAGTGACTACAGTGCCCCATAACATCCAATTAGGTTAGGTGAAAAGTATGATTGTGTGTTCAGAGGACAATAGAACCAACCCAAAATAACAATGTGTAAAAACCAGAAAACATATTATCTGAATTGCTTTCATGGATAGAACCCATTGTTAGCCTCATGACATTGACCTCATCACTCTAGAGAATGAATCCATGTTAAATCCGGTTGCTGCCTCCTACAGAATTCTGGAGTTTGTAGTTTAGGGAGGAGCCTTTAACAACCTCACAAAACTACAAACCCCAGAATTCTGCAGGTGGCAGAAACCAGATTTAAAGTGGATTCATTCTCTAGTGTGATGAAGTAGAGAATGAAGTAGAGAATGAATCCACTTTAAATCAGTCACAGTACTCTGTCGTAATAGATTTGCAGACTTTCAAAATTTAAAAAAACAAGTCTTATGTAGCCAGTAGAGGGAGCTGATATACAGGTAAATATCCCCCCCCCCCCCCCCGAACTAAGGACCTGGTGATTGTAAAAGAGATATTCAGTACTTGCTTTATTTGTGTGTGGATATATCTGTATCTAAATGTTAATCAGTCAAGTTTATTTCACAGTGTAAGTACTGTGACACATTTTTAACAATTGTGCCTGATTGATGCTTTTAGAGCAGGCATGGGCAAACTTCGACCCTGCAGGTGTTTTGGACGAACAGCCCACTAATTCTATTTTCCCCTCTGTTTTGCAGTCAGTACACTCTTGAATGTGAAGTTAAGTGAAACTGAAGGTGGGAAGTATGTTTCTATTCTGGATTTGCCAGGAGACATCTTAATAATACCTCAGGCCACACTGGGTGGTAAGTTAAAGGGAAGAGGCATGCAATATCACTCCAATATTGAAAAGGACATTGGGCTGGCACTCTATTCCCAGTTTGTGGTTCAGTGTGAAAGAGAACTGGCTGCTAATGCCAAATGTTTTGAGGCTGGTGTTGTTCTCAGGCATGGCACATACGGAAACCGGCAAGTGTTGACGGTGGATACAAATGGACCTTTTACTCATATGATTGAATTTTGAAATTTTTAAGGAGGACATATAGTCTGACAGATACAGTACGATTGTGCTGATAGGCAGCAATATAGTTAATTTAATTCAAATGTTTGAGAGAAATGAAAAGACTTCAGTAAATGAATACCAGACTAAATAAATGTTACTGCTTTATGAGAAGTATTCTCAAGCTGTCTTATTTCTTTATATAGTCAGGAATATTATTCTTGGTTTATGATAAATGGAGATCCACCTGGAGATTGCTAATCTTTGATGCCAAGATATTCTTGATACTGTATTTCTTCTTCTCTTGTCACTCCCTAATTTCTTTCATGACTACATAAACTTCAGTGTTATTAGGACCTCTGTGGTTGGAATCAATATTGTTGTAAAACCACCCACACTTTTTTTGTAAACAACCCACACTTTAAATATCTAGTATTAACCCAATACTGTCAGATAACAAAACTGGAAAACCCAGAAGTGACATATGACTTATTGATAACTGTTTCTGCCTTCTTATAAAAGAAGTTATAAATGCAAAACAATATTAAGGAACATTTCCGGCAATTGGTTGATTTAAAGATTTCTACAAATAACTGTTTCATAAGGAACCTTTCTGGTATAGAGGTTTTAGTGTTGGACTAGAATTCTGGGAGAGCAGGGTTCAAATCCCCAGTTACCCATGGAAACCTGCTGAGTGACCTTGGGCAGTCACATTTTCAGCCTCAGGGGAGGGCAATAGGAAAACTCCTCTGAACTAATCTTGCCATATTAGACCCCCCCCCCCCCTTTGGGGTCATCTTAAGTTGGAAATGACTTGAAGTTGCCCCTCTCTGAATGTGTCCAGAGAAGTGTGATCAAAATGATCAAAGGTTTTGAAGCCAAATTCTACGAGGAATAGCTGAGGAAGCTGGGTATGTTTCACATGGTGGGGAGGAGGCTAAGAGGGGACACAATAGCTATGTTTAAATGCCGTATTGAGAAGGGCCAAGATTGTTTTCTTCTGTTCTAGAGACTAGGAAACAGGGCAATGGATTCCAATTGCAGGTAAAAAAAAGATTCCACCTAAACATTAGGGAGAACTTCCTGACAGTAAGAGCTATTTGACAATGGAATATGTTGCCTCCTTGGAGTGTGGTGGAGTCTCCTTCTCTGGAGGTTTTTAAGCAAAGTCTGAAGGGCCATCAGTCAGGAGTGATTTGATTGTGTGTTCCTGCTTAGCAAGAAGTTGGAATGGACAACCTTTGTGGTTGCTTCCAACTCTCTGATTCTATGATTCTAACAACAGTAAACAATTGTATATGTCATGTTTCACAGCATTCTCTTCTTACCATGTTGTGATATGATTAAAAAATGGAAGCTATAGCATAGTAAGGGCCAAAGGGAGCCCAGTCTCGTCTGATCTCTAATCTGTTTCTCTGGATCCTTCAACTCCCTGGTATGGGTCAATAAGTAGAGTAGACTCCAGAAGAATCCGCAATGGTACTGAAGCACTTTGTTAAATTCCATTCTTCCTGAAACTAGAAATGTGCGATCCATTAAAAATGGTTCAAAAGTAATTGGACTCCATTCTTTCTCATTTTTATAGCTATTAGGGTGAAACTCACTACAGTGGTAAAACACATTTACCACTCTTAGCCCACTAAATTTCAGAACATTTCACTTATCCACAGATTTTTGGGGAATGTTCCCGTCTCCAAATGTTGAGACTCCATTAATTTACAGAGACACTAAGGCAGCCTTTATTATTATTATTATTATTATTATTATTATTATTATTATTATTATCTTTATTTGTACCCCGCTAGCCTCTCCCGAAGGACTCAATGCGGCTTACAAAGGCCAAGGCCTCAAAACACAACATAACAATACAAAACTTAAAGCAAATTAAAAGCAATTAAAGCAATATTAAACACAAGCAATAAACAATACACCAAGACACAATAAAACTGGGCCGGGCCAGAGTAATGGATACAGAATTAAAAGTGCTGATGTAACAGGTGATATGTAAGGATTATACGGTAAGTGCAGTGTGCAGTGTGCAGCAATCTTAATTCTAATAAAGTGCTTCTGGGACTTGTTGTTGGAGGGTTCCTACTTTGGAAAGGCACATCGGAACAGCCAGGTCTTCAAGTTCTTTCTAAAGACTGCCAACATAGGGGCCTGTGTAAGATCTTTGGGGAGCGTGTTCCAGAGTTGGGGGGGGGGGCACCACAAAAAAGGAATCGTGAGCAGGGCCTCTCCGGATGAACGAAGTGAGTGCGTGGGTTCATAAACGGAGATGCGGTCACGCAGGTAGGATGGTTCCAAACCATTTAGGGCTTTGTAGGTAAGCACCTGCACCTTAAATTGGGCTCAGAAAATAAACGACTTTGCTTTCAGCTTTGCTTCCTTGCACTGAATATGAAACTGACTTTGAGAGCCTTCTGAGATTTGCAAAACTAAAACTAAAAAAGTATGGGGTAAGTTTCGATTCTTAAATTTTTGGCATGGGACATGCCCGTGTATCATATGTTACCTTGTAAGTATGAATTTAACAAATTTGGTCTGAATTACGAGGACTAACAAAAAAATGCACACCTCTACTGGAAACTCACACACCATTTTCCAAATCATGTTATCTCTGGTATTCCTGGCTTGAAAAGTTACAACTACCATACAGGCAGGCACCTTGCTAGTAGTGAATTGATTGTACTGAAACTTTGAATTCCACTGGCTGAGATATTTGTGTTTTCTGCTGCAGCCTCCACACGGGCAAGCTGCTATTAAACTGAACAATGAGATCAGGTCACTCTTAGAAGAGGAAAAATAATTTCCATTGTATTCTCTTTGGTTTTATGACCTAAATCGAGTGACTCACTAGTGGATGCCATTGCCCACTAGCATGACAGGACTTTCATTCTCTGCACTGCTTGCATATTTTCTCTCAAGGCTTTCCTGTTTCCCCAGATAAGGTTTTGGAGTTTACTGGAGAATGGGAAATGCAGAATTGCAGGGAAGGACGCATCCCTTCTTTTTTTTTCTGCTGATGGAACTACTTAATAGGATGACACAATTGGATCCCACTACTTTGCTTCTTACCATTTCAAATATTTAGATTCACCTTGATGAGAATGAAGTCACAATTCCTGTATTCCAGTATGTACTGAGGTAACTCCAGGAGGGATTTTGATGGCTGAAGAATTTCTTGTTCCTTATATAGGCAGTTCCCGAGTTGCAAACATTCAACTTACAAACAACTCATAGTTACAAATGTGTGTGAAACAACAGGAAATGAGAGAAATCTACCCCTAGGAAGGGAAATTCAATCCTAGAAGAGTTAGAAATGGGAAAAGGGATCGCCACTGAAGCTTTATCACCAATCCTTCTTTCCACAACAAGCCAAATGTTTCAAACTCCAGTTATCACAGGAACTGAGAGTGAGGTGAAATCTATTGAACAGGGGCATAGGCAGCAAAACAAACATTACAGGGGTGTTAGCCCTTCCTTATGCTATCCAAAAGTAATATATTTATTTATTTCACTGGAGTTACACTTAAAAATGTACCTGTTCTGACTTACAAACAAATTCAACCTAAGAACAAACAGACCCCATCTCATTAGTAATTTTGGGAACTGCCTGTAATGGAGTTGTTCTCTTGGAAACAACATGTAAAAATAAATATATTCATTGAGCAAATTAATTTAATTGGTACATTTCATTAACTCTGCCTGACTGCTCTGAATGTAACTGTAATAATTCATGTCCATTTTAATAGTACTTCAATGTATGTCGCAGTATACCCCGCCCCCCTTTAATGAGTAGAGACTAAAACTGAAAATGTAAGGAACTTAGGGTGTTCATATGTGCCATTTTCAAAAGGAGATTGTGACACATTTTAGATTATGGATGAAGATGGGGAGTGGTACTATGGGAACATTAATAATCAGGGTGTTGTCCTCATCTGCACTGTACTTAGTGCTTCTCTATTTCTGACAGGATAACCTATTTTAAAACTGTCAGCAACTGGGAGGTTATATCTTAATTGGAGTACAATGAGTGTAATTCTGTTATTCTAAATTAATCACAACTGTGCTGTTATAGCTAGGGTGCAACTTGTTAAGTTACTTAATTTAAAATGTTAAATAAAGGCAAATGCACACTTCATTTTGGAATTACAAGCATACCCCAATTTCGAACAATGAAACTCTTTGTTTAATAAAGTCTTTTCATACTCACCTAGCCACCATTGTTATCCTTGTCATATATCTATAACAAAGTTTGTTTGTTTCAGTATCAGGAGCTCTGTGGCATCTACACTGATGATTCTGTTGGTGTGTTTCTGGACCATTTTTAACGTCTTTCAAATCAGGGCCTACATACCTTGGTACCAAGTTGCTCAAAGACTGCCTGCAACTGTATAAACATGCCTGGGCCTAAGTGTCCGCAATAGAGACCCAGTTTATCTGCTCTTAAGTGAGGATTTATTGTACAGGCAGTCCCTGAGTTACAAACATCTGACTTACAAACAACTCATAGTTGAGAATGGGAGTGAGACAACAGGAAGTGAGAGATATCTATCCCAGGAAGGGAAATCCACTCCTAGAAGAGTGAATGAGGAAAAGGGGTCTCCACTGAAGCTTTATCACCAATCCTTGTGAGGACATGAGAGAAGCTTCCCACAGGATAGTAACATATCTGGGTGTCTCCTGGGCAACGTCTTTGTTAATGGCTGATTTTATCACTCCAGAAGCAACTTGCAGTATGCAACCAAACAAACAAACACCGCTTCATAGGAAATATGCTACAAAACATGAGCTTTTTTTGTTGAGTTCTAGGGTCAGAGAAGCAGATAGCGAAAACAAAATGGCCTGCCTCAGGGGAGCATGCTTGCTCCATTAATGTTTGACATTTACACAGATGATCAGCCACTGCCAGAAGAGATGGAGAGTTTCATCTGTGCTGATGATCATGCCATCACCGCTCAAGCAAGGAGCTTTTAAATGGTTGAACAGAAACTCTCCGAAGCTTTAGGGGCTCTTACTGCCTATTACAAGGAAAACCAGGTGATTCCTAATCCATCTAAAATGCAGACATATGCTTTTCGTCTTAAAAACAGACAAGCATCTCGAGCTCTGAGGATTACCTGGAAGGAATCCCACTGGAGCATTGCAGCACACTAAAATACATGGGAGTT